ATTTGCCAGTTTTGTACTTACATGTTGAATCCTGAACTCCCTTGTAGTCCACTCATCTGCAAAATTCTGAGCAAGCAAATGTATTTTGATTTGTCCCGAACAGAAAGGAGAGCTGTCTGAGGGCCAATAATATTCACACAGCACCTAGAAGAAGAGGCAAAGTACATTGAAGAATTCCAAAGGAAGGAAGAAACTGTGTGTATGCAAAATAATGATAGCACAAATTAGATTTTCTAATGTTCACAGTGGCACACAGCTGTTGATAATAATCTGTATTTTCTGACTTGTTAGCACTTTTTGTCTTCACTGGATATATTTGTCCAACATGCACCTACCATGGAAAGCAAGGTTGGTCCCTCTCTGTCCCTTTATCAGCAGTGAAAACTGGTGGAAAATGAAGAATTCTCTCACACTCTCTTTTCATTAATGTAACAGCAGTTAGGGATTTCAAATAGTATAGGGCCTCCTGCATGTTTGCAATCATTCTGAGTTCTTTTAGCTCATTTTTCTTTTCATTTATCGCAATGAAATGTCATAAATACTTGGTGTATCTAGGAAACTTGTAGGATCCATGTTCATAAAAAACCATCTTTATCTCCTTTCTCTTTCTTGTGTTCTCAGCTTCGAGATTATGAGTTAAGGTTTTAAAAACACCAGAGCCTTTCCTTTCACCTAATATTTCCATTTCAGAGTTAGGATATTATTTCAAATGTATGTGCATTCTAAAAGCAATTAATAAAGTTGAGTTCTTTAAACTTGTCAACCTCAGATAGGAAGGTAATAAAACTTGAGGCACATTACATCTGCTGTATTTTGTTGTGTGCCTGTTTCTTAATACACCCAGTCTTCAACCCCCCACCCCTGCCAAAAAAGGGCTAACATACTGAAATATGCTATTTTTTTTCCTCATAAAACATTTCCAGCTCTCAAACCACTATGCTACACTGGCACATCTATATATGAAAATAATTAAATTATTATACTAAAACAACAAATAATCTGCCACAATTTTAGAAGAAATTAATTTATTTAAGCAATTAGAAACACTGGTCATTCAATTCTATAAACAAAATCATGACTGCTCTAATATGAGGAGGGACAGCTGAGCAGGGAAATGGCTCTCCACTGTCCTTTGGGTCTCTTGAGTTGAGTCTCTTGAGGTTTCTGTATACATGGTTTTAAAAGTCAGGAACATCTTACACATGTCTACAAGTCAAGTTTAATTTTTCTTTAGAATTCTATTTGATCTGGTCTAGAATACCAGAAATTTAAGGATGTGGATGAAAGGAAATCTTCATCCTGTCTATGCACTAGACTGAGAAAGTGTAACCTCCTTTCTGAGACTGACCTACCCGTCCATTCTCCATGCCCACTGTGAGCATCACAATGGTGCAGATGTGCTGCTCCCAGACCAACCTCCAGAAGTCATCTAGGGTTTTCTTCAAGGGCCCCTGTGTTGCAATGAACTCTTGAGGTGAGTTGTAGCCCTGCAGTCACAGAGAGAGAAAATTAACAGTAACAGGATACTTTTTTTGCATGCACATATATTGAAGAAAAATATAAGTATCACTTTTTACAATAAAAATATTGCATGTTTTTAAAAAGAGGGATTAGATTATCTTGAAAAAACTTTGGGCTCAATCTAATGAAAGCTAGAGTTGGGCTTATCCTGTCTCCCTGAACATAATAGAAGTTTTGCTGTGTTGTGGAATTTACTGGGTTGCCCCAATGTGTAATTAAGTATATTATATGTGTATAGGCCAAAACTCGCCTTTAATATATATATTTTAGAGACATTCTCCCTTTTTATATGCAGGTATGTATATGTAGGTCTCTTTGTGTTTCTAGTTGGCTGAATGTTAAGATAAGCTTGTGTCTGTGGAGCAAAGCAAGATGTAGTGGTTTGAGAATCAGACAACCCTGGACAACAGGGTTTGAAATCCTGTTCATCTGTGGTAAGCCACTGAAGGACATTGGACAAGTTACATTCTCTTGGCATCAGAAGAAGACAAAGACAGACCAGCTTGGAACATATCAAAACAAAGGTTTGATTTAAGATCACAATAAGTCAAAAATGGTTTGAAGGCAGAGAACAAGACATATGTATTCCTCTCCAAAAATATTCATGTAACTAGTTATTAACAGACAGAAGAGATTTGTTTTAGCTGCACAGTGACTACCTATATAAATTGCAATTGGTTATATTCAGTTTTCCCACTGTTTCCCTTTTAGATATTTAATTCTCTATCCTCTTAGAGAACTGTTAAATATTTTTCACCAAGTCTTTCTGTAATTTTTGAACACTACATTTCAACTCACAACTGAGAAGAAATACAGCTTAAAGGCCCAAATAGTATTTTGCATGCTCCATATGACATTCAGTATAGCACACAGCAAATATCTATGTAAATGTTAAAGCATGGAAAGGAATGGTCCTTTAAGTGAATGTTTTAAAGCTTTCACATTAGTGCTCTCTATGGGGTCTTTCAGAATAGAGGAAAGAGGAAAGGCTCACATTCTCCAAGGAGTAGAGCAGAGACAAAGCAATATTGTATTTTCAAGCCATTGGCGGGTACTCTCTTGGCACCGCCAAGTCACAAAGCTGGAAGAAACCTGAAGCAGAAAGAGCTCAACCTGTTTCTCCATGCGCCAACCTATTTCCATGCTATTAATAACAGAGTTGAATCCACATCATGGCTATAGCAGTTGGTCACAAACAAAGACATGAATGAAAAAGCGATGCCTCAGAAATCCCCCCACAAAGTATTATTTACAGTATTTATATTTTGCCCTTCTCATCTCGAAGGGAACTTAGGGCAGATCACAATACATACATATATGACAAACACTCAATGCCATTTTCAACATACAAGAGAGAGAGAGAGAGAGAGAGAGAGAGGTATTTCAGCATTTTCCAACTTTGGCACCTGGAGGTTATGCTCGATTCCGGCTACGGGGGAGGGGGGGTGCTGTCACTCCATCCACTGTGACAATGAGCCCTTTTGACTGCAGAATTTCCTTCCTTGTTTTTTGATCACCAGCATTTTATATTGTCATAATACCTCCCTACTAAAGTTGTGCCTAATTTCTCTACTCGCATTTCAAGTTCTATTAAAAGTGCTGCTTATTAAAGCCATAATGCAACAAGAATGTTAAGGAACATTATCTAATCCTCAAATGAGGAAAACTTCTACTGCTTTGAGTCGTCATTTCGGCTGAGAAAAGCGGTATAGAAGCAAAGCAAATAAATAAATAAATACTGAGTGCTGTTTCTATTTTATTTTATTTTATCATGTCAGAAGCAAATTGAGAATATATTGCAAGTCGCTTCTGGTGTGAAAGAATAGACCATCTACAAAGGGGACACCCAGATGTGTTACCATCCTGTGGGAGGCTTCTCTCATGTTCCCGCATCGGAAGCTGGGGCTGACAGACAGGAGCTCACTATGTCTCATGGATTTGAACCACCAACCTTCAGGTCAGCAGTTCATCTGGCACAAGGGTTAAATCCATTGCGCCGCCGTAGCTATTATCATATGCAATGCAGCTGGTGGAAACACATGATAAGTCTTTGCAAGAGCTTAAAAAGGTAAAATTTGGACCATCAGTCCCAGAATTCCCTGCCATCATGGTCAATGACTACACTGGAAATCTACTTAATCCTGTCACAGATGTTCTTCCAAGAGCGTTTGAAGATGCTTCTTTTAAGCAGGCCTTCAACTTGACAAAATACTGTTTATACTTTCCTAATGACTCTTTGAAATTTTAATCTGTGTTTCCTATCTGCTTTGATCTACTTTTTGTCTAATTTTAAACATTGTTTTAAAATTATTGTTAACTGCCTCAGGCCTTTTTCTATTAAAATAGAAAGATGGCATATCAATGCTTTTATAAGTAGAGCAAAACGATTAGATGCACTGTTGGAGTATTTCTTGTCACTCCAAAATATGTTAAGGAATTGACTAGTGAGCCTTTTAAAAATGAAAAAGCTTGTTATGTTCCCTACATTATTCAGAATTCTTTTATGATTAAATTACTCATGTTGCTAACTACATATTTTGTGTGATAGCTTATCACTAAAATAAGGAGTTTAAACAACACTGATATCATGCCAGACAGTAGGACACTTCTCCCCACACTTCAATCCCAACACAATTTGCACGAAGTTATCACCAACCACTGTTATTAGCAAGAGAAGGGTAGACTCCATTCCTTTCTCTAACACTGTATTTTAGCCAGGTCCCATCTATCTCTCCATCTCCATATATGATGGGTATTTCATAGAATCACAGAGTTGGAAGAAACCACAAATCCAGTCCCATATTGCCATCATGCAGGAACACACAATCAAGGCACTCCCAACAGATGGACACCCAGCGTCTGTTTAAAAACGTCCAGAGCAGGAGACTCCACCACACTCCAAGCAGCATCTTCCACTGTTGAACAGCTCTAACCATGAGGAAGTTCTTACAAATATTCCGATGGAATAACTATCTGGCTAAACTGTATTAGCCAGGAAAGAGAGACGCATCTGTACTCCTGCTTGGGAACCCAACTCTCCCTTAAATGTAAGAATTACCTTGCATTGACTCATTTTCAGCCAATGCTGCCTGTAAAGTAGACACATCTGTTCTTGTGATAAGCAGGTTTGATGCTGGTTTTCAATGTTAACATGCACATTAAGCACAGTGTTTTTACACGGGCATGCAAACATGACAGCTATGTAAATACGTATGCATATCGTCTACATATCTGCAGGCATGTGTGGGTGAATATGACTACCACATGCACATGCATTAACCCATTACCTGGATAAATCACCAGAGAGGCATGAGGGATACATCCAAGCTCTTTAACATGCAGCTGTAAATAGCAGGAGAAAGAGGAAAGAGAAGTAAAATTTTAAAGTAGTGGGGAGAAGATCCAACCAATCCTTTCCTCCAGGAAATAAAGCCCGACTGCTCATTGGAGGGAAGGAGACTAGAGACAAAGTGGAAGTCCTTTGGCCACATCATGAGGAGACAGGAAAGCCTAGAGAAGGGATGGATCCTTGAAGTGACTGGACTGACCTTGAAGGAGCTGGGGGTGGTAACGGCCGACAGGGAGCTCTGGCGTGGGCTGGTCCATGAGGTCACGAAGAGTCGGAGACGACTGAACGAATGAACAACAACAACAACAATGACTCTCTGAAAATTTAATCTGTGTTTCCTATCTGCTTTGATCTACTTTTTGTCTAATTTTAAACATTGTTTTAAAATTATTGTTAACTGCCTCAGGCCTTTTTCTATTAAAATAGAAAGATGGCATATCAATGCTTTTATAAGTAGAGCAAAACGATTAGATGCACTGTTGGAGTATTTCTTGTCACTCCAAAATATGTTAAGGAATTGACTAGTGAGCCTTTTAAAAATGAAAAAGCTTGTTATGTTCCCTACATTATTCAGAATTCTTTTATGATTAAATTACTCATGTTGCTAACTACATATTTTGTGTGATAGCTTATCACTAAAATAAGGAGTTTAAACAACACTGATATCATGCCAGACAGTAGGACACTTCTCCCCACACTTCAATCCCAACACAATTTGCACGAAGTTATCACCAACCACTGTTATTAGCAAGAGAAGGGTAGACTCCATTCCTTTCTCTAACACTGTATTTTAGCCAGGTCCCATCTATCTCTCCATCTCCATATATGATGGGTATTTCATAGAATCACAGAGTTGGAAGAAACCACAAATCCAGTCCCATATTGCCATCATGCAGGAACACACAATCAAGGCACTCCCAACAGATGGACACCCAGCGTCTGTTTAAAAACGTCCAGAGCAGGAGACTCCACCACACTCCAAGCAGCATCTTCCACTGTTGAACAGCTCTAACCATGAGGAAGTTCTTACAAATATTCCAATGGAATAACTATCTGGCTAAACTGTATTCGCCAGGAAAGAGAGACGCATCTGTACTCCTGCTTGGGAACCCAACTCTCCCTTAAATGTAAGAATTACCTTGCATTGACTCATTTTCAGCCAATGCTGCCTGTAAAGTAGACACATCTGTTCTTGTGATAAGCAGGTTTGATGCTGGTTTTCAATGTTAACATGCACATTAACCACAGTGTTTTTACACGGGCATGCAAACATGACAGCTATGTAAATACGTATGCATATCGTCTACATATATGCAGGCATGTGTGGGTGAATATGACTACCACATGCACATGCATTAACCCATTACCTGGATAAATCACCAGAGAGGCATGAGGGATACATCCAAGCTCTTTAACATGCAGCTGTAAATAGCAGGAGAAAGAGGAAAGAGAAGTAAAATTTTAAAGTAGTGGGGCTTCTCATGAAGAGCTTTGGCCATGTTAAACCCACACATGCCTCTTCCTCTCCATTTTGAAGATCTGAAAAAGAAGCCAGCTGTGTGCATGGTGCCGATTTGCTGTCCATTATGATGCCATCATAAAATGCCCCCCCCCCACACACACACACACCCAAGTAGTTTTGCACTTTTAAACATTTATATTTTAAAATACTGGAGATGATAAATATAGTTAAACATGTATGTATTAATATGGGGGAAAGGCAAATAGTCTGTGTGAGGTTGAAGGAGGGCCTGATTTGCAGTTTAATTTTTGTTTGGAAGCCAAGACCACCTTATTGCTGGGCGGCATCAATGAACTTTCATTTAACTTTCATTTTACTGTACTTAGAAATAGAGTGGAATTAACTTAAAAACTGAGAGCCCAGCTACCTGTCTACTTCTAAATCAGCTTCCAGAATAATGATCTGGTTATCTGACACCTTGCTAAACCAACATACAAAACGTTACCTTTTCATCTCATCCTCCCTGTTTTTTGTTTATCTTGGCACAATTTTCCTATTTATCACTTTGAAAACAGTTTTTCCATTATTCTATATATGATAAAAATACCTTCATACTATATAATGGACCTGCTATGTTCTAATTTTAGCTATAATTCTCTTTGATCTCTACTTCTGTTCACGGTTATTATGACAAACACTTAATGAATTTCTGGTGCTTATATCCAGTTACAATCTCACCCATTACTCACTGTCTTTTTCAGACTTTCCCCTTTGTTTGTCATATTTTTCTGAAAAGCCTATTTAATCTAGTTCCATTTAGACCAAGAGTCTTATATCCATATTATTGGGCTTTTGCAGCAGTCAAGATTTTGCTTCACTCATTTGTGAAGCCTAACATGACATTCATACTTCAGAGTCATTCACATAATGCTGCTTAATGTGGGATGTTGGTAGAACTGGTATGCGGGAACTTACTGGCACAAAGTTGGCATTAATGTAGTCACTATGAGGCTCCTCATCCATCAGGCTCAGCTTCACTCGGGAGTAATCATCTGCAATGAGGTCAGATTCAGGAATTGTGTTACAGCAGCAGTACACTACATGGCACAGGCAGTTGCAGAAAGAGCATACACTGATGGACCTTTTAAGTATGTCTGCCAGTCTAAATTAATGTGAGCCACCTGAGCATCCTTCTCCATACTGGTGTCCTTTGTTTATGTTAGACTACAAAGTTTATCATCCCAAGTCAGCATAATTGTGTAATTAAGAGTGTTGGATTTGGACCAGGAAGACTTCTCCTAGTGTTTCACTGGGGAAATGTCTCACGTCAAGTCCAGCAACTCAGTTCTACTAGATCGCTTTCCTAGGTCAGACAGTACAAGGTTCTCTCTCTTGAACTCACAGTGTATCCTTAACTCTTCAAGATAGCATAACTTCATTTATAGAGCCTTCATGATATGGAGTCAGATATTGGCAGTCTTTAAGTGAGGGGAAAGCAAACCATACTACATTGCAATCATTAATCATTCATAAGAGTGGAGACTGCAGCCAAGAAATCAATAGAAGACTAGGACTTAGAAAGGCAGCTAGGAAGTAACTAGACAAGATCCTGAAATGTAAAGATATACCACTGAATACTAAAATTAGTAGGATCCATACCATCATATTTACCATTACTACGTATGGTTGTGAAAGCTGAACCATGGAAAAGGAAGAAAATAAACTAATTTTAAAGAGTTCTTATTATATCATGGACTGCTAAAAAGAAAGACAAATGGGTCCTAGAACAAATTAGGCATTACCCTTTTCCCTAGTAGCCAAGATGACTAAACTGCTATCATAATTTGGCCGTATCATGAGAAGAGAGATCACTAGAAAATATGAAAATGCTTGGTAAAGTGGAGGGCAATAGGAAAAGAGAAAGACTGCATCCCTAATATACAGGCAATCGGTGAAGCAACAGCCCTGGGTTTGCAAGTTCTGAGCATGGCTATTGAAGGTAGGATGACTTGGAGGTCTCTCATTCATAGGGTTGCCATAAGTTGAGGTCAATATGAAGGCAGTTAACAACAACAAAACCAAATTAAGGAGAAAATGCAAAAATGATTTGATACTTCAAATTAAAGGCTTTATTAGCCTACAAAGCAATAAATCTGCACTTTATAGTTGGTTACCTGGGATGAACCCCCAGTGAACCCAGTGACACTTATGTCTAAGGAGGCATGTCTAGCATTGCCTTGCAAAGCAGGAAAAGGAACTGGAATAAAGCAGGGAGAGGGCTCTGAAAAGTTGAAAAGTAGTTGACAATTGCACAAAAGTATAGTTTGTAACACTGCTAACACCAGGAGACTGCTACCAGGAATAGGGGATAAATTAACTGTCTCTGAATTTGACCAAAGCTTACATGGCAGAACATGCGGGTACCGATTCTTGGAGGTGTTGGCAGGAAGTTCGGCTACTGTTTTGGGCTGATCTTTTCCCACTTCTTTGAGTTCCTATGAGACACAAGAAGACATTTTTTTCTCAGCATGATCTTCTAGGTCAATCTGAACCAGGCTTTAGTCTTATATCAAGATAAATTTGAAACAAACACATCCTAGAACATCGAAGCTGATCAAATGTAAAGCTGATGATGTTTATCAGCAATTCAAGGAAAAATTGCACCCAATTGCTTGTATAGTCTACAGTATTAAAATGTTCTCAAAAGGTATTCTCTAACGTAGAGGAAAGAACACTTAAATTTGAGAGCTTCTTTCCTATTTAAAATGTTATGCTGGCCAATGGCTTCCTGGAAATAGGTTACTGGGATTTTTGTTCACTATCTGCTGACATTCACAGATGGTAAAGGGTATGCCTCTATCTCTGACTGGTGGTGCAGGCAGGTGTTCAGTTAGAAGTCAGGCTGAGCTGGTCTTTGTATAAAATGAAACAACAATTGAGCAGAAACAATGAAGTAGTGATATTATGAAACTTCCTTTCCAGATTTGCAATTTGCACATCTCAAAACTCTTGGCCAATGTTGATCATATCCTTTGAATCAATGATACTCTTCTCTAACAGAAAGGGAAACTTCAGGGTGATTAGGGGGTCCATGAAGCAAATCATTCTTTTCCTCGGCACATATACACAGAGATTATAAAGGCTGGTCAAAGTGCTTAGCAGTGATTATTCTTGCTCATTTGGCTAGACTCCAATGTCCCTTTCATAAGTAACTAACCCTACCTTTCAGTGCAAACCATAAAACTGATAAAATCCTATAGTTATGGTATTCTATAATTTCCAATGAAGGGATATACAACCAGGGAAATTTAAGCCCAGAAAGTGCCTCACCAAGTTTACAAATTCCAGAATTTCACAGAATGCAGACATGGCAGTTTAGGTAGTACCAAACTGCTATAATTGTGTAATGTAAAGGAGCCCTATATTTAATATTAGAAGATAACCTGCCAGGATTAAATTTGAAATAAAAAAGTGAAAGACATTTACCTCAAAGTCTTGAAAAAAACCATTATTGGAATTTGCTGCCCTTGCCTCATAGTACTGTCTGAAACTTTGAAGAGGGATGGGACGATGGGTGTTTCTGCAAGAAATAAGGATCGTAATTAGTCAAACAATCCTACCTGCAATGCAGAGATCTTCTAGAATAATAATAATAATAATAATAATAATAATAATAATAATACCAACTTTATTTTTATACCCTGCCTCCAACTCCCTGAAAGGACTTGGGGCAGCTTACATGGGGACAAGCCCATAGGCATAGTAAGTACTGAAAAGGTAGAAAAACACTCATTTTCTCATTACAGTGTACTCTGTTAAAATTATCTACTTTTACATTTAAATTTTTTTGGGAATGTTTGCCAAAAGCTTGTTTGAACAAGAAACAATTGCGCAACTCAGAATTCTGAATATCAATTCACCATTTAAGGAAATGCAACCTTTCAGCAAAGGTTGTGTGCTCTGATACTGCCCTATTTGTCATTGTGTCACTAGTGAGTAAAAGATACACATACACAAAATAAGTTTTATGTCCTTGTTCTATATTACTGTTTGAATCTTTGCAGGCAGTTAAATCATCAGATTTTTCAGTGAGGTAGTGACCACAAAAATAAAATCCTCAGAGGATGATCACTTTTGTAAACAAGGCATGCACTGTTTGTTCAGAGGTTTAAAAACATTGTGTTCCTCTTTTGCTGTCCAAATGCAGAGGTGGGTCATGTTCTCAGTAGGTTCAAGGAGGGACTTTGCCTACTTGTATTTCAAAGAAAGAGATGTATAACCTATACCATCATTCCTAGCCAGAATAACCTGTGGCTGTGGATAATAGGAGCTACAGTCTAGCATCTGGCTAATCAATAGTTAATTACCTTTGCTTTAGGTATGAATTCCCATGGTTGTGAGCAAACAGTTTAATCAAAGTTGTACCAGATATTCTCATGGAAGTGACTCTCTCTTGCAAACTTGTTGTCTATGACATCTTATGTCCTTGAGTGGGCAGGGAGACAGAAAAGGAGCACCACTCACCTGAGACTGTAAGTGATCATTTCTTGAGGCATGTTACCCTTTTCCAGTCTGAAAACATATAGATTCAGAGAAAATAAGTGTATCATTATTATTAGCTGACTCCACCCTTAGAGAGGGATAGAACTGTCTGTCATCTTAGCTAATATGTGTTCACAGATACACACACACACAGCCTTTATTAGGATACAACAACAAAATTGGCATGCAACACTGGTATACACAGCAAGAGAAATCACAGATAAAAAGAAAACATGCTTAAAAGTTACTAATCTCATGGATAGAATTTGCAACAGTCTCGCAAAATAATGCATCAGGTTTGTTCAGAAGATATGGAATTTTATAACACCCTTGCCATTGAGAACACTGAAAAAATGAATTCCTGTATTTCATCTGTATATTATCATATCTGATAATATACATAAAAAAGAATGATGAAATGTTTCAACAGAAACCAAGTCACAAGAACAAACCCTTTCAGAATGTTTCATTTTTTAAATATCTCCCATCCAAAAGAGCTGATGGCAACACATTACACTTTGCCATCAACACAGCTCTCCTCTGGGTGGGATTAATCAAACTGCGAAGATATGCTGGTAGGGGAACAAGTTGTCTTTGCTGCAAGAGCCTTGCTTGACCCCACATGTAGCACTAATTCTAGAAGTTAGCTGACCTTTCTCAGAGCATCTAATTTGGCAAACAGTATTGGAGTACAGTTGTCTAATTAGAAACACAGATATGCATTTGCCAATACAACATTAAAGTATGTGAGAAGTATGTGAGAAGTGAGTTTGAAGAAATCTTAAAAGGAAGATCACAAAGCTGAAAGTCATGCTATCACCAATTGCCTCTTAAGTATGACCACATAGTATTTTCTTAATTATTTGCTTAAACATTTAAAACAACCTAGCATTTGCAAAGAAAGCTTAGTCAGTCTGAAAAAGCTGCATGTCGGTCGGTTTTCTCTTTGTTAATATCCCCTCACTCATGCTTTTGTTAGTATATGGCAAAGAAAGTGCAGGACTAGAATTGCCTCTTGTAATGTGTTTGTCATCCTCTTGTGTTGTTTAGATCTAAATTTTATATATATATAGTAATGCTCTTACACTAAAGCCTTTACAGCTGCAGACCAGATTATCTGAAGAACCTTCAGCTATACAGTCCTGCCCACACTGAGCAGCAGCCTCAAACGTGCAAAATTCCCTTCAGTACACATCTTGGCTTTTTTATGCAGGCACTTAGTTGGGTTTTTAAAACTTCATAACTATTTTAGTGTCAAATCTATCAATCACTTTATTTGCACCCTGCCTTTCTCCTGTGACTGGGATTTGAGGTGGTTTGCAGATAAAAAAAAAGAAATAAAAATAAAACAATATGCCTCTAAAATCAAGATTAAAATTGTATTAAATTGTCTTTTAAATTAAAACAATTTTTATTAAAAAAATCTTGATAAAGTAATGTGTACATTTGTTCTGCTGTGATATGATTGTGTTTTACTTGTCTCACTTCTTTACCCTCTCTTAACTTCAAAATATTTCAGATAATATATAGAAATATATTTCGGGCTCATTGAATGATTTCTTATCACTCTTCATTTGTTAATTTTATACACCATTCATGATTATGCTGCAAGTCAGGAGCTTCCAATCCTGTTTTGCATAGGTGTTGCATTCAACTGAATCACAGTATAGATTGCCATCTTCCCTTTCTTATGAATTGGTGCTGTTCTCCAGAGACACTCAGAGATTCTGTATAGGCTTATGTTATACCTCGCCAAATGGTCTTTCAGCCAAGCCTCGGGCATTAAACCAAATCTGCAATGCATTATTGCTTCTTCTGCAGTAGCAAAACATGCATTTTTCCTTACCTTCTTGCTCTCAGATGTCTCCAGCAGATCCATCCAGCAATTGCTGTGACAGTTGCAAGGAATCCAACAATGATCCCCGACACAACTGGGGCAGATATATTAGGCGAGGCTGCAGAGGCTGCAGAGGCATCTGCCGCTGAGACAAAGACAATTAATTGTCCCATGTGCATGAGGCATCTTTCTCCCCAACCCTGAGCAAATGGTTTCTATGAAAATAATTCTCATTCTACTTCACAGAATGATTGGAAAGCATCAAGATCAACACTTGAATCGATAGTTAATGAGAATGCAATATCATATATTAACTATCTCACCCTGGTACCTTCTAGGTACCCTCTAAACATATTGGTCTACAACCCAATCATTTTAGCATAAACAACAAAATTATAACATATCAAGAGGGTTCCAGGATGAGGGAAGTCTTTTGTAGATCTTGGACAGTAAGTCTGGCTGAACTCAGTATGTATTAATGTTGAATAGACATGCAGAGAAATACACCGATCATTTGAAGCATTTCTGTGATTACAAGTGGGATGCACAATATGTCTTAGTGAAATTGAAACTGGAAGTTTAGTTCATTGAAACTACAAGGTGGAAAGGGGTACCTCTCACCTGAGAATGATGTGAATGATACTTTAGGAGTTCGTTGGCTGTATCTGGTGAAAGCAGCAATGCTGAACCTATTGCAGGGAAGGAAAAGACCTAAGAATTTCATTTAATCATCCCATTTATAACATTTACCTTTCCAATAAAGAGTTCAACAACTGATAAAGTTTTCCTTCCTCAACTTTTACTTGCACTGACATTTTATGAAGCAGGTTTGACTAGGGTCAGCTCTGGACCTAAGGCCACACATTCCTTCATAGGGTCCAATTCCAGTGCTTGGCCTAGTCTTAGAACTGGTGCTTTAATGGAGATGAAATTAGTTTGGAAGCCATCACCTCTTCTCTGGCCAATTGTCTGTCTGCAACACCTTTAGAAGTCCTGTCCATGTGTTCTTATTCTGGATAGGGTCAACAAGCAAGAAAGGGGAGTGTGCTAGCTTTCTCTCTCTCCTGGTGCACTTTGTTGCCCTCTGTGCGTGTAAGGTGTCATTGGAATAAGAAAGGCCTCCACTATTCAGCATCCTGAATCACATGGACAGATTCTTCAGAAAGTTGCTTTCCACACATAGCAGAAAACAGAAACTTAGGAAGCATGGCTAGCTCCCTCCCTGACCTCATGTGCTTCCAGGAATGTCTGAACAAAGACAGAGTTGGGCTGGGACAGTTATGCAACAGTTCATCAAGCTGAAGGAATTGGGATAGTTCACTGCAAGCTGAATTCTTCTTGTGCATTCCTCATGCTAGTTGTCAGCCATAGAGATTAGCAAATCTGCCTGTTTCATTTTTGCATAATTCATTTTTACAGCATTAATCATTTGGCCCCATTTATGCATCATCTCACAATATATATATTTAAATCAATTTAAAATTCATATACATTTTAGGATGCCCCCTCCCAAATATGTGGTTTTGGAAGCAGTTCTCCTAACATACTGCATTTTTGTGTGTGTTTACAAATTATCAATTTTCTAATTGGAGAATGACAACACAAAGTTTAGAAAGCACACATTTGGAAATGCAAGAAATTTGGGGAAATGCAAATTAGGTATGTGCATGTTAAAATACGAACTGAACCAGTTTTCATTGCCATCTTCACCCCTACTAAAGAGACACTATTCTTCCTATTAGCAAATGTCAGAGATAAACAGTATATAGCCATTTCTATCAGGCTGGCTAGAAAGCTTTCCGGTTGTTCTTTTGGCTAGCCAACCAATGGAGGTAAAATCCTGGACCAGAGAGACCCTGGAGATCTGACATCTACCTTGGCATTTTCATGTTTTTATGTTTCTTACCTGTACTGTGCATCTGTTTTCAGCTTTCCATTGCAGGTTTCCCGAGACTGACTGCACTCCTCTGCACCTACGGTCACTGGCCAGATCTTGGGGCTTGTGCTTTCATTGAGATGGAACGGGTTTGGCAGCAACAGAGCCAAGTATGAGTCTTCATGCCCGTAATAGTGATCATACCATGTGCGGGAGATTATGTCTTGAGTAGGCCTCAACACTGCAAACATGGAGAGAAGTATTGTAACATTAAGCTCTTTATGGGGGAATCATTAATTCCTTCTGTAAGGATATTGCCTGGAAGATCAGACACTTACAAGACTCATTAGTTGTGACAACAACCCCATAGTATTCAATGAGACCATTATCCTCACTGAACATATCAGGAGAGATGATGATTCTGGAGCTGTCATCAAACTGAGGGGTGTCCACATGCACAGGAGGTGGTAGGACTGCAAAATAGAGAAAGTAAAAGGTGTTAGCATATCTCCAGAAGATGGCACTGTAGATCTAAATTTGTGCATGTTAAGATTTGCAAGGACACACTGAACTGAAGTATTTCATATATTCCTGTAATGTAGGTCAACATTATTATCCCCTTTATTACAGATGGGAAATCAGAGCTGGAAAGACAGTGGCTTGCCAAAGGCCAGCTAGGGAACCAAAGGATGATGTGAGGCCTACATGAGAAACCTTCCAGCTCACTACTTACAGCTCAGTTTAAATCACCATGAATGTCACAAAACTTGTTATTTCTCAATCTTCCTTCTTTTAGTGATCAGGTCTGCAGTCTAGTGAATTACTAACAAGAAGTCCATTGTGGTGCAGATTGGAGATTGGAAAGCACATACCTTCCACAGATGTATTGCAGCCCAATGCCACCGCTGGCCCCTTCATTCCATTCTTGCCAACAGCACTGACACTGATTTGATAGGCAGTGTTTGAGGTGAGCTCTGCTAGAGTGGCATCAGCCCTGGAAACAGCCAGAAGACGTCTAGATTTTTGGAGGCCTCCTTTGGAAAATTTCCTCACTGTAAGTTCATAGGCTTCAATGTCACCTTCAGGAATGGTCCAGTTTAGAAACACACTGGTCGCATCAGGCAAACACTGCAAGTCCTTAACTTGAGTGGGCTCTGGAGACACAAGACAAATGAATTGGAAAAGCACAACATAAGTGAGACTCGGCAAGCTCTATAACAGTAAGCAGATCTCCAAATATACATAAAGAGCATGGTGGACAATAGAGAAGCAAATCGTTGACTATTTTGTCCTTGCAAACAAAAACAAATTACTTAAGTAGACTTATCCCACTACTGGACAAAATAAATATTGTATCATCTGCAATATTATTTCTATATATAAGCGTCCTGGCATGTTGTGCAAGAATTATTCTATGGAAAAAAATCTTGCACAAATAATCTCAGTTTTCAACACAGAAAACAGGATTCCTGTTCAAGGAACCATATTTTCTGCACAGTAAGCTCATTTTCTGCACATAACGCAACTTTATCTGAATGAAAAATACATATTTTCTCCAGAAAAAAAATCCTGTGCAACACTTTGGGAAATCAGATTGTAGCTGTGTGCCTTCAAGTAATTTCTTTCAACTTTCAGATAAAGCCATCACAAGGCTTTATAGTAGTTTCTTGGTTTTCAAAAACACTGTTTTTCAGCCTGAGAATAAATAATTGCAAATAGGATTGCTATCCTTAATAAAGAGATTGTGAATCAGAACCATGCTGTTCATGACCAACACTTTAAGAGAGATAACAAGTTTAGAATCAGCAGATTGGCTATGTTACTTTATTTGCTATAAGTTATAGGATTCCCTAACGAGCATAGATGATTCTGGAGGTACAGTCCAAAAATTAACTTTCCCAAGCTTTATATGGTTTTGACAATATAGATTTTGAGACATTTCACTTGTCTCTTTTAAAGTTTGAGGTTTTGAAATAGTTTTGGAGAGCAAAACAAAGATCTACCATAAAGGATGGTAGGATGGAGAGACTTCAGTGGAAGCCTTCTGTCTCTGGATAGGGTTGACCCAATCTCCTTGTAAAGCCATCCAAGGTCTGACATGTCCTAATGGTGACCTAGCATTGGCTTAAAGTCTTTGTCTTTTACTTGGGGATAGAGTCACCTGGAAGGTAACAACTAAAAAAACTTTTTGTTTTCACATATAGAGTATGAGCCCCATATCTGTAGGGATATGTTCTCAGACTTCACATGGATACATGAAACTGCAGATATCCGTGATTCCTATTATTTTCATGGGTCAGCTATGGAGATACTGAAAACATGGAGTAGCTTGTAGAGGAGGTCCTAAGCCAGTGGTTCTCAATTTGTGGGTCCCCAGGTGTGTTGGCCTACAACTACCAGAAATCCCAGTCAGTTTACCAGCTGTTAGGATTTCTAGGAGTTGAAGGCCAAAACATCTGGGGCCCATAGGTTGAGAACCACTGCCCTAAGTGAATGAATGAAACCAAGGATAAGGGAAACGGAATATATTAGTCCAATTGGTGGCTAAAAGGTACAACTGATCCATGAACACATGTAAAACCTTTCTCTTCCGACAAGCTTGTGATGGGTGAATAACTCGGAACTATGTCTGTTCTTGTTTTTATTGTATTTTAAAGTTAATTGTATTGTTTTAATCTACTGCTGTACACCGCTCCGAGCCAAATTGGGAGTAGCGGTATACAAGTCAAAATTAATAAATAAAATTAATATGCCAACACATAAGCATGCACATCCCAATGAAAGAGAAAGCAAATCTTCTACAATCTTTACTTTCAGAACAATTACAGACAAATGAATACACACCTATTGGCATTGCCATCATCTCAGAACTATTCTCATACGGTCCTGCCGTGCAACTGAGGGATACAGAATAATTTCTCCCTGGCACCAGTCCCTGGAAAACATGTTGGATTTCCCACTGGACCAAGGTGTGACGCTGCAGCACAGTCTTGTTGCCAGAAAACCACAGCTGTAGCTGGCAATGTTCTGGCTTGCTGAGGGGCTTTCCCCAGGTCACTGACATTGCAGGGTTCCTCTTGTCGGACTTTATAGAAAGTTTCCTAGGAACTGAAGGATCTAGGGTATAAAAACAAATTGAGAAATAGAGAGAGGTAATTGCTCAAAGCAGAGACTCAGAAGAATTAAAGGGAAAGAGTCAGCCTAGAGGAACTGCAGTACTTGAAATGTTTGTAAGCCAACTTGGATTCTATATAAGAAGAAAGGCAGGAAATGCATAAATAATTACATGAATAATTACACAAAACACTATGGAGACGTTCATACTCACATGTCCAGTCACTGACATTCCGAGCTGGGATCCGATGGGGCCCAGCTGTGGAAGCAACTTCTAGTAAGTATTCACTTCCTGGGATAAGGCCTGTGAAGGTGAAATTTGTGACACCTTTCGCCACTGATGCCTTGGCTGCCACAGTGCCTGACCCAGTGTAATACAATGTTAATACATAGCCATCATGGCCTCCAGCAGTTGGCTCCCAAAAAGCATTTAGCTTGTCGGTGTAACCTTTGTTTGAAATATGCACTATGCGAGGAGGCAGAGGACCTATGAAAAGAAAAAGGTCAGGTCAGAAAAGAAAATGGAAGCTGGGTGCAGTTCTACCTTTATGTAACTGTTGACACTGTGCTGTATGTTTGCAAATCCTACTCTATGAAGAATGTTCTACCTAAGCAATGTAGCCTTAAACAATAAGAATTCCTGCATGCCTTCAATACTGTTTCTAGAAATTTCCCCATTTGCTCAACTGTAATACATAGTGATCAAGACATCCAAGAAGCTATACCATGTGATAAGAAAACTTTCCAGATGTACCTATAATCACATTAAAGACTCCTTCCTATGTGTTAGTGCTTTACTTGAAACTATCTTCTAGGCAGCCTGGTCTAGGCAATGCATGTATATATGATTTGCATGTACTTTTTGGTGTAACCAGTAAGATGTTCTTGAGTTAAATAATTTGCATACTGATGTTTTCATTTTTTTTTGCCAGAGCTAGTCTCAAACAGACAAAAGAAAGTCCATGTGTTCACTTGCAAACTCTACTAGAGACTGATTCTTAATTGAACCAATTTTCATCCCTCTCAAAAATACGGCAACATCCTGAAAATTTAACCTAATCCAACACTGTATTTACGCATTTTATGTGCTGCTTTTCTTCTATATGGCTAAAGGAAGAGGTTCTCCTTAGAACAACCCTATAAAATACTTTCAGGGGACATAATGACCTGCCAAAATTCATCCAGGCTGGATCTATACTGCCATATAATCCACTATCTGATCCCAGGTTATCTCCTTTGAGTTGGATTATATGAGTCTACACTGCCATATAATCCAATGAGTCTACACTGCCATATAATCCAATTTAAAGCAGATCTCTAGACCTGTAGAAGAATGGCACCTTGCTTTACTCACTTGTCCAAGCACTGAAGTTCCCTGATGATGATCTAGTCGGCCCAGCCCTTGAGACAATCTCATACAAGTACTTAGTGCCTGGTATGAGACCTGAGAAGGTGAAATTGGTGGCGTCTTTCCCCAGAGACGTATGCAGTGCTGTGGCAATGGGTTCTGAGGGGTACAAATTCAACTCATAGCTATCCAGTCTCCCAGAGGTTGGTACCCAAGACACACTCAGTCTACCTGGTCGCCTTTCATTCCATGTTTTCATAAAGGTGACAGGCAAAGGAGCTGTAAAAAAGAGAAGGAGCATATATGATAAAGTGAGAAATGGTGCTTGACATAACTGGCTACAAAATATGAAAAGTTTAAAAGTCTATGCTGGATAGGAAAAAATGCAGCTCATGGACCGTATGAAGCTCCCATGTCTAGCCAATCTAACTTGTCCCATAGCACAAAACACAGGGATTTGTTCTATGCCCAGTCACAACAGTGGTTCATCTAGATCAATATTGCCTACACTGGATTATAGTAGTTCTCCAGGATTTCCAACAAAAAGATTTTTGCAGAGATCACTGCTTGCAAAGCATGGACTTTGCTGCTCAGCTATAGCTTTCCACCACAATCTAGTTTCTTTCTTTTACTCTTGTAGTAGGATCATGGATGGCAGAACAATTTTGTTTTAATGTTTATATATTTATATATTTTAAACTGTATTGAAATACTTTTAATGTAAACTGCTTTGAGTCTTCTTGTGGGAAGAAAAATTAGGATATAAATAAACATAATATACACAATAAACATAAACATAAACATAAACATAAACATAAACATAAACATAATAATAATAATAATAATAATACCATCTGCCTGTGACAAAGAATTGGTGGGATCACAAGCCTAAAAAAGTTACAGAAAATGAACACGGCAAACTACTCTGGGACTTCTGACTTCAAATTGACAGAATTTTGGAGCACAATACCCCTGACCTCATGATCGTGTTAAAAAACAAAGTATGGATTGTCAATGTTGCAACCCCAGGCGACAGCAGGATCGAAGCGAAACAACAGGAAAAGCTGACATATGAGGATTTAAAGGTTCGAACTGCAAAGACTCTGGCACAAGGCAGTAAAGGTGGTCCTAGTGATGATCAGCAGTGCTGAGAGACCTTGGCCTGCAGTTAAAACACAATAGGCGCTGACAAAATTACCATCTGTCAGCTGCAAAAGGCTACCCTACTTGGATCTGCTCTCATTATTCGCCAATACATCACACAGTGCTAGATGCTTGGGAAGTGTCCGACATGTGATCCAATACAACAGCCAGCATAGTGATCTTGTTTGCTGTGTACTAATCTTGTTGTGTTTCAAATAATAATAATAATAGTAGTAGTAATAATAATAATAATAATAATAATAATAATAATAATAATAATTCAATCTTCCTAGGTGTCCTGGGGGTCCAATGTGTCTCCCAATGCCTGGTAGCTACCCATCTCTTCAGAATATAGGCTGCACCAAGTATTTTGATATTTTTCTTATAGAACATAGAGCTCATATTTTAACTTATCAATTCTATTCATATGTTCTATTTCCCATGTGCTGCGAAAATAACTGACTACGATACACATAAGTAAAAATAGGCACGTTCTTGGTGTGTAAACTTCCTATGTTTGTCTTTGAGAAATTGTTCTGAAGAATTTATCAATAGCAATGGAATGTCTACATCTATATGACTTTACTCATGCATGCCCTTTTACTCCCCCATACCAAGCAAATTTCTTTTTAATAATATGAACTTGGCATATCTAAGGATAGTAATATCCTAATATAGGGGAAAGTATTTTGATTCCATAGAAGATCGTGAAGAAAAAGGCTGGGAAGAAATCAAGTAGAGGGATCTGTAGGATGAATGAAGATCCAAGAAGATCCTGAGAAGGAAAGAAGTGTGGGCCTAGAACTACACAAAAAGGCTGTGCAGATATGAGTAATGGGTCCATCCCTAGACTTTAGGATCAGAGGGTCTAAAATCTAACCTATGTGACTTACATGTCCATGCAACAGCGATGGTCGAGGAAGCCTCAGCTTGGCCTTTCACTGCAGTGACCTGCACAGCAAACTGGCTTCCTGCTGGCAAACCTGTCCAGAGGAAATCCTGAGAGTCTGGTCCCACCTCACGAATTCTCTCCAGCCCTGGAGGTAACAGACTGTACAGGATCATTCGATAGTGGTCCCTGCCTCCTGGGGGCTTTGCCCAAGCTGTGTACAGCACAGATGAGTTGGCAAGGTTTTTCAGGGTCAGGTTCACAGGAGGAGCAGGGGCTGCAGGATAAGATAGAAAGCTTCAATTAGAAATACAGGAATTCGACTTTCACAGCCCTACATAGCTCACAGTGATATTGCAAGAATAGAAATCAGCTTCTGTACTAACAAAATCAGCAACAGAAAGCGGGGTTATGCAAAATGCACTCCATCTAACACATGAAATACAGAATATAAACAGATCTCTTATCTATAGATCTAGGGTGTAACGAATGCCACAAGACATTCAGTGCATGAATCCTAGCGGAAGAGTCACATCTCGATGAAAACCTGTCTGAACCTTTCACATCAGAGTGCACTATAACTCCATGGCATTGCCAACTAAGATCAGCTGAATGTCACCATGAAACATTTTCTCAGCATTAGGCATTCTTTCATCTAAGATGAGGCAACTCACTGGTTCACCACCCCAAACCAATCCCGCACTTACGTGTGCAAGCTGTATCATTCCTGGAAGCAGAGCTATAGGGTCCAGCCAGTGACCACACTGCAATGAAATAGCATGTGCCTGGGGCTAGCCCCATTATTGTGGTGTTGGTGTTGGCTTTCTCGACTGCCACATGTCTTTTGGTATCGGTGGCTCCTTCTTCAGATACAGAGACCATATACCTGTCTCTCTGTCCAGTTGGAGCCTTCCACTGCACATTCAACACTGAAGAGATATGACTGGTCACCATCAAGGACAATGGCATCAAAGGCACTAAAAAGAGAAGTGCAAAGAGCTTCAAAAACAGTGACACAAAGTATGGCCCTGGCTCGGGTTTCATTTTTACCTATGTTGTGTTATCTCTTATTACAATTTAAAACTATTTAAATTCATTAAATTTTACAAAAAAGTTACGCTACAAATACAATTGCGCTGGTGGTGGACACCCATAAATAGTATTATCATATTCTAATGCGGCAGCATGAACGATAAAAAACTTTGAGCTCAACCACCACTATAATAAATCAAATTAAGAAAACAATCATGAATAGCAAAAACAATAACCTGGAAATTACTTGATATATTCAAGTATAAGCCTAGTCTTTCAGCCCCTATTTTAGACTGAAAAAGCTCCCCTCAGCCTGTACTTGAAACAAGGTTATTTATTATTTTATTCTGTTATTAGTATTATTTTATTACATTTATTATTTTACTCTAATATTACTGTTATTATTACATTTTCATTATTTTACTCTATTATTATTATTATTATTATTATTAGATTTATTATTTTACTCTCACTATTATTGGAAGGAGATGTAAGCACATTTACATTGAAGAAGGTTACAATAATGGTTTAATCAGAATTGGACAGTCTTATTTTAAATTACAGTTTTATGTAAATATTCAAAAACATTTAACCTACTGATGCCTCCATTAATGTAATTTTATTGGTATCTATTTTTATTTTGAAATTTAGCAGTAGCTGTTGCATTTCCCACCTTGGCTTATACTCAAGTCAATACACTTTCCCAGTTTTTTTGTAGTAAAATTAGGTGCCTCAGCTTATTTTCAGGTCGACTAATATTTGAGTATATACGGTGGTTACAGGCACTCTTCATTGACTAGACTGGACAAATGGCCACTCGTCACTTCCATTTATTATTTTTCTATGAATAACTTCAGAAAATTTATCAATACTTTTAATTTACAATGAAGTTACTAGAATGCAATGGTATTGTACAAGATCATTATGTAATGTTTTGAAGTAACAGCTTGTATATAATGCTAAATCATGGTTAACAATAAATGCAGGTGATGGGCAGAAAGATAAATAGCAGGGGAGCTTGAGGGGCCACAATATTGTTTGTTTGGCTTTGTCAAAATGACAGAAAAAATAGCCTTGCACTGGGAGAAAGATGGGATATAAATAATTATAAACCTCAATTGGTTAGACCAGTGGTTCTCAACCTGGGGTCCCCAGATGTTTTTGGCCTTCAACTCCCAGAAAGCCTAACAGTTGGTAAACTGGCTGGGATTCCTGGGAGTTGTAGGCCAAAAACATCTGGGGACCCCAGGTTGAGAACCACTGGGTTAGACAGTAACTAAAATATGTTGAAAATAATCTAGCAATACACAGAAGACGGACAAACAGTACGACCGCATAGGAAAAAAACCCCCAGAAATGAGCAAAAAAACAACAACCACCCAAAAACAAAAACAAAACAAAAACAAAATTCAACCTGACATTAAAAAGTGATGCTGCTAAGAATCATAGACTTGTACAGGTCTTAAGAAAGACCTAGTCCACACAATCTACAATAGCCCTCAGTAAGCCTGACAAATGGCCACAGTTACTGGCTCTGATGATTGGGAGTTATGAGCACTGTAGTCCAAAAGTAATGTTTCTATGTTCTGGCATTGAAGCTGCAGCTGGTGTTTGGATTTAATAATAAAAGCACAATTTTCTAGAAGATTACTTATAGGAAGAGTAAGAAAGATGGAGACTGCTGCAACTGGCTACATGACTAAGATTTAAAAAGGCAAAGTTGTTTGTGAGAGTTAAGTAAAGCTTGAAAGGAACCTTAACCACCTATTATCCTGTAGACATGTAGCTACTTGTAAAAGCACAATTATACTTTTCTCCATTTCTGGTCATCATTAGACTCAAATGTCATAAGCATAGTTAAAAGGATACATGTGGAACATTTACCATTTCTATTATTTTTCCAAGACTCTGCCCTTTCTAGCAAGCAAGTAAAAACTGAAAGGTGGTCCTAGTCCATTTAGCAAAATGTGTAATCCCAAACTGACATAGAACAAGTGCATCTTAGATTGCATAATGCCTAGATTGTACCTGTGTATCCAATCGCCGTTTGAGATGATATGTAATGAGGTCCAGCTCTGGAGACAATCTCAACACGGTACCGGGTTCCTGGCACAAGGTTATCCAAGGTCACCTGGGTCGTCCCATGTGGCACTGACACATTTTGGATAATGGACAGGGATTCCTCTGAATAGAGTTGTACCCAGTATTCCCGTCCTCTCCCTGATTCCATCCAGCTCACAATCAGCTGTTGGGGGCTCTGACCACATTTCACACTTACATTAGACAGAGACAGAGGATCTGCGGTAGAATGAAAACTTGGTTACAGAAGAAGTACACTAAGTGAAGCCCAAATCAGTTGTTTTAACAAAAGCATTTGAAGTTTACAGTACTATTTACTGCTTGGGTTGAAATTTGCCTTTTAAAATTGCAATGATTTGAGTACTTACCTAGATAGAAATCAGTTAGCATCATGGCAATTTTTTTAGCTGTCATGTAGTAAAGTAAGGGTCAATTTGTGTTGGTGATTTTGTTGCATACTTCACATTAATTTAGAAGTGTGAGGCTGGATTGGAATGGTTACTTTTCTGCTACTAAACTACTTACACAGTTCTTATAGCTAGGAAAGAAAATAAGTCACACTTGCACATCTTGATTTTCCTTCTTTGTTTTGTGCTATATAATCCTTAGGGGTCCAACTTCCATTGACTACCCTGGGAGGTTCACCCCAGCCCAAGTGACCTGGGTAGAAATAGTTGCTCAACGCCCACATTCAACTATTGTCTGTGCAAAGACTGAAAATGTGGAAAGTGAGGGGAGGTGCAGAATAGGTATGGCACATGTCTTGAGATTCTTTTGTATGCCCAACTTTTAAAATCAATGACAGTATTGGTTAATTTTGTTCCAGCTCCAGAAAACTGCTTCCTGCACAGAAAATTCTGTAATAGGAGATGATTTCTGTACAAATAATAAATAGTATTTTCTGTAGAAAAGGGGCATTTCCTATACAGAACATGATGTAACTGGGGAATTGGGGTCCTAAATAACTGGCGCTCAGGCTATCCTTAGCCAACAATTCAGTTCAATTGCTGTCTAATGTATATGGGCCCTTGGACTGCTCTGCACCAACTTGGTGAGGCTGTTGAATGCTGGACCCCAAAAAGTTACATAATGCAGAAGCAAGCAAAATATTCCCAATGCAGAAATATTATTTTCAGTGCAGAAAGTGTTCTTTTGTTTATACAAATCAATCATGAATTTTGTACAAAAAATAATTCTTCCATTACATGTGAGGAGATGCTAGACAACATCAGGATAGGTACTAAAAAACTTCTCTACCATATCCTACCTTTATTGTTGTGTTTCATTCCTGTCTTATGGTGACCTAAGGCAATTCTATAACTGGGTTTTCTGGAGCTGAAAGTGTCAAACTTGGCCAAGATCACCTAGTAGGCTTTAATGGCTAAGCAGGAACTCAAACCCTGGTCTCCAAAGTCATTGCCCAACACTCAAAGCACTACACCATGCTGGCTTTCTACCTACTACATTATTTATCAATAAACTGATCTTACAGCAATAGGTTGTGCCAGTGTTTGAAACCAAAACAAATCTTGGAGAGGGCTAGAACTACATCCAATTCCAGCACAGAAAAATATTCTCAAGGGTGGATATACAAGTACTGCTTATTTGCTAAAATATTAAATTGTAGAATTTACAGGTGAACAATATGCCTAACATTTGCAGAATCCTGTCTAGACATTATGTATATATCTTCTTATGACCATATAAAGATTGCTAATGCAAGTTAGGAAAACAGAACAGCAAACATACATTAACTAAACATTCATGAAGCATTAGAACAGCATTATCAGTAGTGGAGATATATGCTGCCCTGTTGATAGAGGAAGAGTCTATAATCAAAAACCACTATGATGTTGCCAGGTAAGTGATTCTGAACAAATTCAACTTTCATTTAATTTTAATTATTGCCATAAGATCCATCGGAACTTCAGGGCAAACCTCAATATCAAAAGAATATTTAAAAATAATCAATTAGTAATTGAAACTGTCCAGCATAAAGCGACAATAGCAAAATGAAGAAGGTAAGATCATTCAGATTAGCTTAAGTACATTGTCTATACCACTGATTGCTTAGAAAATTCAGTAGCAACTCAGTGCAGCCAGATCATGGCAACTGTCAGGATTATTAGTACAGGTACACTTTTCAGCTGCGTGGGAATAAAAAATGATCTTTACATAGCAGGTCGATGGAAGAAAGGTATCATTCCACATCCCCATGAAACTGAAAAGTGACATGTATGTCATTGTACCTATTCTTGAGTGTGGCAAATTAGGGAAGTCTCATTCCTGATGCCTTTACACCTTTCAGATACAGTTTTGAATACTCACATGTCCATGCAGAGACAACCTGAGATGAGGCTCGGTATGGTCCCGCCAATGCTGAAACCTCCAGAAAGTACTGGGTGCCAGGAAGAAGGTCCTCAAATGTGAAATTCTGCTTGCCTGGTCCAATGGTAACATTCCTTTGCAGCAATGGATGCTCCTGGCTGTAGAAACGCAGGAAGAACTGGTCTCTGTCACCTGGGGGTATTTCCCAAGAGGCAAAAAGTCTGGAGGACCATCTGCTACTGACCAATGTCACACCTGAAGGAACCAATGGGTCTGAAAGGAAACAGATTTCTCACTGTGTGGTTGGTGACATCTGGACAGAAACAGCAGGGGAAGAGAGATGGAACATAAAGGTTTTTGCAGGTCTTCTCATGAATGGGAGATATTTTAAGAAGAAAAAATGGCAATGTTGGGAAACTGGAGAATTCCTACTGGTAATTAACATTTACATGAGATTAAAAAACTGGAGTGCAACCAAGGAATCAAAATTGCATGCCAGATAGATTAAAACCAATAAGAAGGGCTTCTTTGGTTATGTCAGTAGAAAGAGGAAGAAAAAGGAAATGGTAGGGCCTCCGCGCAGAGGTGGTGAAATGCTAACAGGCAGAGCTGCTCAATACTTTCTTTTCCTCAGTCTTCTCCCAAAAGGAGACTGGGGTCAACCTGAACTATATGGAACAGACAAATAAGTAAAGAAATAGCCCAGGAATACCTGGCTACTCTAAATGAATTCAACTATCCAGGGCCAGATAAACTACATCCAAAAGTACTGAAGGAACTAGCAGAAGACATTTCAGAACCACTGGCAATAATCTTTGAGAATTCTTGCGGAACTGGAGAGGTCTAGAGGACTAAAACAATTACCATTCAGTAAGTCTGACATCAATACCAAGAAAGATTCTGGAGCAGATCATTAAGGAGGCAGTCTGCAATCACTTAGAAAGTGATGTTGTCATTACTAAAAGTTAACATGGATTTCCTCAAAAACAAGTCATGCCAGACTAATCTTATCTCTTTTTTCGATAGAGTTACAAGCTTGGTAGATGCAGGGAATGCCGTGGATGTGGCGTACCTGGATTTCAGTAAGGCCTTCGACAACTAGTCAAATGTGGCCTAGGCAATGGTACTATTAGGTGGATCTGTAATTGGTTAAGTGACCGAACCCAAAGGGCGCTCACCAATGGTTCCACTTCATCCTGGGAAGAAGTGGCTAGTGGATGATGATGATGATGATTATTATTATTATTATTATTATAGCACAGCAAATGAGATATATCTGCCGTATTATTATTATTATTATTATTATTATTATTATTATCTTTAGCCTGCAGAAGAGAAGGTTGAGAGGAGCTTCCTGACTATATCAACTGTTTAACTGTGGAACTCTCTGTGGTTGGAAGCGCCTTCCTTTGAAGCTTTTAGTTTGATTGTGCTTTTCCTGTATGTAAGAGGGTTGGACTGGATGGCCCATGGGGTCTCTCTTCTAAGAGCGAGTGTCACCAGCTGTTGCTGGTCCTGCATCTAGGTAATAAAAAAAAGAAACACCTGTGAAATGCTATTTTCTTCACAATTGTTAAATCTTCTATTTTTACCCTAAAACTATACTATAAAAACTCTGCTGGAAGTAGAGTCATTGGAGTCTGGGGGGCTTTGGGGCTGTACATGCTTTGTAATCCAGAATGCCTTCACCCCAAGGTACAAATATTCAGCAAAAGTGACTCAGGGAAACTTTCCATTATTTCTCCTGAGAATAGCATACTCACACGTCCAGTTGCTAACCGTCTGAACAAGGGATTGATGTGGTCCGGCTACTCCCACCATCTTCAGAGTGTACTGACGTCCAGGAAGCAGCCCTTCAAAGGTGATGTTTGTTCTCTGTTTGCTCATTTCCACAGTGACATTTGTGACCTCCAACTGAGATTTGGTCTCCATGACAGTTCCTATATAGTGGCCTCTCTCTACAGGTGGGATTTGCCAAGAAGCTTGCAGAGATTTTGTGCTTTTACCTTTGTTACTGAGGCTCAGGTGCTTTAGAGGCAAAGGATCTGAAAGGAAGAGATTGAAGGTATTTGTAGACATTTTTTTTGCAAAGTAATGTCCACATCTAAAATGCACCTTTTGGATCCAAAAGAAATCACCTAATCAGTGGTGCAAAGAGTAGAATGGGGGGGGGGGGGTTGCAGAAATCAGGGACACTTGTCACTAGAATAAACAGAAGGATATCTAAATGCAGCAGGGCTGCCTTAACATGTTTTTATATATTAATTAATCAATGTGACTATTCAAAATGGGAAGATTACTAAATGCAGAGTCAATGATTAGTAAAATGCACAACTGCTCCTCGCCAAGCTAAATGTCTTCATGACTCAGTTGAATGTGTGCTTCCTACATTCAGAAACTGTCTATTGACATTGCAGTAGACAGGTTAGCATTCTCCTATTTTATCTCTCTGGTCCATGGATGACAGTATTCTGTTATTTATCATCCACCCAAATCTCATAACATCTTTTAAACCATCCTTTAGATAAGGGATACACAGTTCTGTGTTGTTTTAAGACAACTTCATCACTGATTATGTTGGTTATGGGTGACAGGAAGTGTATAACAAAATCAGACCATCAAGTGGAGTTTTAGATGTTTGAAGAGTATGCTATCATCTACAGTTACATTTTCTGGTTGCCTTCCCAGTTGCAAGGTTATATTTGACCCTTTTCTTTTCTTTGTATAAAAGTGTTGTTGAGCAGTAAATTTAATAAGGTTAGTAAATTTTACATCAAGTTTGGCTAAGAAATGAAAGTACTTCCTGAACCCAGAATTTCAAATTAGTAAGATTTGCTTTGAAGGACATATTTCAGCTAGAATGATTCACAAGCTGCTCCTTTTTGCTTCACATCCTGCTTATATCCACTTCAATTGGATAAATTGATGTTTTGATGGTCACATTTTTTTTCAAAAAAGCACCTGGTCCTTTCATATACCCACTGGAATGCCTCTAAGACATATGGGTATATGTGGCTAAGGACAAGATGGTAACTCATAGTACATATACAAAAGCGGTGAAACTAGCTGATGAATTTTTACTTAATACTGGTCATGACTGTTTTCAACTGAACCTGACTATTAACATAAGAGACACAGGGCAGATGATGTCACATTTATACATCGGTCTACTCCCTGTCCCTCAGCTTCTGGTGCCTGTGGTAATTGTGTTATTTTCTCCGATGACAGGATTGTCCCAGATGCCACTGTGGTTGCACTTGAAAAAAATGGGGTCTCTGTGAGGTACAATCTTGCCATATAGTCAGCCCTAGTCATTTCTTGCCTGTAGACAAGAAGCAGATGGATACTACTTTAAAATGTTAAGCTTCCCCTTGATGGTCTGAAAGAGAGAAGCACAAACATAAATGCAGAATCCTGCATGAGAGAACTGGAATAATATATTTCAAGATCTTTGGGGAAGTAGAATGTAGCAGTCAATTTCCTCTAGGAAGGTAATGAAGAAGTCCCAAATGCAACTGCATCCTCATGATTCGCAACAACAGATATAGAGAAGCATACTTTTTTCTCTGACATTGGAAGTGATGCATAGCCATCCTAGCTGGTAGCCATAGATAGCCCTAGCTTCCATGATCATGTTGATGCTCCAGTCTCTACCTTAATCTAGAATCATAGAATTGGAAGAAATCACAAATGCCATCCAGTTCAACACCCTGCCATGCAGAAAAATCTAATCGTCTACTGGAGACCAGGGGATTTACTGTGGACTAAAATTAAATGACCGAAACTCCATTTAAGCTATTCTTTGAAGAATGACTGAAACTTCAAAGCTGTTCTTTGAAGTCATTCTCCAAAGCCTATATATTAACGTTGGTTGTATGATAGAAGGAACATCTTCACCTAAGCCTTCAGGCAACAACAAAGAAAGCAACTTATTTTGTACTGAAGAGATGGTGTATCTTCTTCTCCAAGGAAACATGTATGTCTTTCCTGCCTATCATTTAAATATCTGTTCCTTCTCTACCCATCGGGAAGACCAAAGTGTTGAGACATTGCTTACATGTCCATGCAGAGATGCTCTTTGCAGATACTTTATATGGTCCAGCAACAGCTGTCACCCAAAGCGTATAGAGGCTCCCAGGACTCAAGTTATGGAAGGTAAGTTGTGTAGTGTTGCCTCCAACTGACATATTTCTGATGGATACACTGCTTTCACCTTCTTGCAGAAGAACCAAATAGAATTCTCTTTCTCCAACTGATGAATTCCATGATGCCTTTAAAGTGTTACTTTTGCCATAGCTATTCAAACTTAGGTTAGTTGGCTTCATAGGATCTATGGAAAGCAGAAAAGAGGGATCAACACTGAATGCATTGGCCAGAAATGTAAGTCTCTGAGCAGATTGTTTGTCTCTCTTACTACATGTATATAATCAATTTATTTTAATCAGGTTCTTTAAAAATAGCCAATCAATCTGATGGCTTCCTCAAATCTCAACTGCTCGGATTTCCTAACTGTTCTCTTTCTCATTTCTTGGATCAACAGTGGGTCTTGAAGAGGTTTAAAGATTGGAAATGCTAATGCTGAGAAAGAAAGATGATAAACAGCTGATTGGTTGGAATCCAAAGTTTAATTATTCACTTCCAGCAATCTGACAGGCATTTAGTTCTCCATATACAAGTTTTTCCCTCTTCTGAAACTAGGTTTTGTCTGCCAATTTTTCAATGTATATCCAATCATTAGGAAACACATTTTAAATTTTATATGAAGGAAGATATGGTAACTAATACTCTAAAGTCTCACAACCCATCTAAATTGGAAAGCTAAGTCAGACCAATCCTTGTACAGGAGACCAACAAAGAATACCAGGTACTCCAGGTAAAATTTCTTAGAAGTGAAATGCAAAACCACCTCTTGAGTTTTCCTTGCCTAAGAAAACCCTATTAAATTCATGGGATTGCCATAGATTAATGGGCAACTTGAAGGCATGCCTGCATGCACACATATACACTTAGAATACAGTTTGCCATTGAAGTAGTGTAACATATTTGTAGTTATTTTTAATTAAAAGTGCATTTGTATCCCAGTATCCTATGGTGGGGATGGGGGAGCGAGTATGGTCCTCCAGGTGTGTTTGGATTGCAATGCCCTTCATCCCTCACCACTAGAAGTTGCAACATAGTCACACTTGGAGGGTCATATCTAATACATATTCATGCTAACCAGCAATCAAGTACAGTTTAGACAAAAAAAATTCTGGGAATGGGCTGTAGAGAGTATTATTTACATTACCTTGCTCATTTCACATAGACTCAGCAGTTTCTCGTTACATTTACATGATATACCTACAAATTATAGCTGACACACTAATGTGACACAGCTCACAATTTGGGAAGCTGCACTAGATATTCTTTTTCACATACAGAGCTCGAGACATGAAGTTCCTTATGAAGGACACTAGGCATATAACAGCTAGAAACCAAATAGATACAGTTTTACCAAAAGATACATTTTGCTCATATTTCAGCTTGTTAGGAGGGATCTGACAGATATGGCTTTATTTAATATCATATATACTTTGTAGTAGCATTTCTCAAATGCTGGGCCAGGGACAGGCATGTAGCGGGGGGGGGGGGGGGGCTTGAGGGGCTTCAGCCTCCCCCCCCCAAAAAAATTCTCATGGTAGTCTGCGAGAAGGCCTTACTGGTACATCATTTAAACTGTTATGTTTATTCATATCATGATCTGATCACCATGCTCAATATATCCCATATGCATGGGGGTATTGGGGTAATGATACAAAAGGTTTGCTAGGCTAGACCCTCTTTCACTCAGACTCAGCCCCCCCCCGAAACTCAGCCCCCCCGAAACCCCCCCTGAAAAAAAATTCAGCCCCCCCCCCCCCGAAACGAAATCCTGGCTACTGTCCTGGCCAGGGATTACCAATGGAGATTATCCTGTTTTCCAGGGATACTGGTGCCACAAGCCACCCAATATTCTAGGGAGAAATTAAAGAAACGGTGTGATAATATGGTAGGCTTAATGTAAAATGTGAAAATGGAAGCACTGTGAGCACTACTGTGCTGTCATACTTACAGGTATAAGCCGTAACCTTGGACCCCTCAACCCGGTAAGGTCCAGCTGTGGCCTTGACCTCCAGTCGATAGGGGGTACCTGGCTTCAGGTGTTGAAAAGTATAGTTTGTTAGGCCCCTCTTGACTGAAACTGTAGTACTCTCCGTCATGGTATGGAGGTTCTGGAGAGTGAAATGGAGCCATTCTGCTCCACCTGCATTGGACCATGAGGCAGTCAAATTTGAGCTGGAGCCACTGTTCTGGAATACCAATGCTTCAGGCACAACTGGAGCTGTTGGGACAAAGGAAGTTTGAGATGGGTCATTCCTCAACACAAGGGAGTAATTACCCAGAGAAGCGGAATCCTTTCTCTCTTCTCTGTGGAAACAATTAGAAAACTAAATCCCAATAAAAGGGAATTTGGAAAAGAACTCTTAATTGCTTTACAAGCTATCCAGGATGTAAACATGCAAAGGCGCATACATTTGATGACATCTCATGGATACAGGGGTTGTTTTTTTTTGGGGGGGGGGGATGTTAGGTGGTATATCCTACAAAGCCAAAAGCAAGAATAAGCAACTGTGACCACCCAGATAGTGACATGAATAGCATATTTGATACACAGAGTGGAGAGATGGGGATATGCATGGACCCCTTTGCTTTCTGAGCCAAAATAATACAACAGGGTTCCCAGGGAGATGGAGAGGGAGAGAAGAGAATAGAGAAATCGGGGTTCTGTTGCCAACACCTCTCTTTCCGCCTTGGCAGCACCAGTGCTATTATGTTAAGCCTGACCTGGCCTATAAAAGACTAACAAAGACCTCTGTCTGTTGAGAACTGCTGCTTACAACCTCCACAGGGAGAGGACAATGAGGAAGTCTCATAGTAGGATGGCTGAGCTGTGTCAAGTGTAGAGAGAGAGAGAGAGAGTAAAAACAGCACTTCATGCAAGAAAAACCAATGAAGAGGAGGCGAAGAGAAAGTACGTGCCATCACCATTCATCCACACCCCACCTTGTTTCCTAGTGGTAACAATGGAAGTCCTCTGCAGTGGATGTAACATCAGGTGTAAATAAAGGAATAAAGGCCAAGGACAGTGGCCACCCCTGCCCAGCAGCTGCTTTCACAGATTTCTGAGAGGAGACAATGTACTACCTTCTTGCCTACACTTGACACAGACCACTCCCAGGTCGCATCCATTATACACAATTGCACCCAGCTGTTTTTGGTCTACAAATCCCATCAGCCTCCCACTGCCAAAAAACATTTTCAGAGCCACAGTTGCCCATTCCTGGCCTAAAGGAACAGAGAGTAACTGATTTTGCTGCTTAATTGCTTAAACCCCAGTTATCCTCTGTGTACATCAGAGTAGATACTTGCATGCCTCTCTCACAAGCTGCATAGAAATGGTAGGTTACATACCTGTGACCATCTTTCTTCGAGTGGTGCTCTGCGAATTCACACTTGTGGAGAGACTGCGCCTGCGCGGGCTCCAACGGAAACTTCTACATTTTAAAACTTTTCAAGTTTTGGCGGTAACCCCGCCCAGCCCCGGCAGGGGATAAAAGGGCGCCCCGCACACACCGATCCAATTCCTACGCCGCTACGGTAGCGAGAAATTGGAGGTTTGCCTAGAGGGGAGGCTGGGCGGGTTAGTGTGAATTCGCAGAGCACCACTCGAAGAAAGATGGTCACAGGTATGTAACCTACCATTTTTCTTCGTGGTCTCTGCGAATGCACACTTGTGGAGACTATCAAGCTCAGGTCCCGGAGGCGGGAAGTAAGCAAACCGACCATTGAAGTCAAGGGCCAAACAATTTTATTAAGTGCAAACAGTTACCAACAAGAGATTGTAATCACTTCCGAAGAAGGGCACAGTGCATAACAAGAGGTTGCAATCACTTCCAAAGAAGGGTACAGTGCATAAACTTATGGGAGTACGTGATCCTCCCGGTCACGTGAAGGTGACCAACAACTGAGTAAACTTTCGACCCTTGAAATAAACCGCATGGTGATTATCGAAGACACTCATTACAATGAGGGCACATTAAGTAGTAATACAAAAAACAGTTTGTTAACAAGTGCACAACACATTTGCAAGGCAAAGCCATCGATAAGACACAGAATACCCGTGATGAGCCCATTAGGCCATAGTGCAATGGTTGCCTGCGCCTCAGGCAGTAAGGCATCAAGTGTAAAGGTGCATATACATTCACTGGCAAAAAAATTCAAATAACAACCTGGTAATAACATTCACAGTAACACACGGTATCGAAGGAACAATCGGTACCGACAGAACACTCTGCGAAGTTCAAGGCGGGCATGAGCCCAGAACCGCCCTCCCAAAGGCCATGTCAGGTGTATACCTGGTGTTCAGTCTATAATGCGACACAAATGTCTGAGGACTCTTCCAAATGGCCGCTTTGCAAATAGCGTCCAGGGGAATCCCCTTAAGAAAGGCTGTCGATGCCGCCATAGCCCTGGTCGACCGAGCCCGGACGACCGAGGGGGGTTGTTGTCGAGCCAGTCGGTAACAGAGCTCGATGGTCGAGGTAATCCAGTGCGACAAGCGTTGCGCCGTGATCGGCAGGCCCACCTTATCGAGGGCATATGCAACAAAAAGTCTCTGCGACCTTCGAGACTGAGCAGTCCTGTCCCTATAGCACAGCAATGCTCTCCGCACATCAAGCATATGAAGTCTCCTTTCCCCCGGGGTAGAGGGGGACTGACACAACGAGGGAAGGACAATGTCTTCATTAACATGGAAGGGGGACACGACCTTAGGGAGGAATGTCACATCTGTGCGGAGAACTGCTCTATCCTCGTGGACAACAAAATAGGGTTCGTCCACCCGTAACGCCGCCAGCTCCGACGGCCGACGGGCTGAGGTGATCGCGACCAGGAAGGCCACCTTCCATGACAACAACCGAAGTTCAATCGAAGACAATGGCTCGAAAGGCGGTCGAGTGAGCCGAGCCAGCACGAGGTCGAGGTCCCAACCTGGAGTTGGAGAACGGACCGGGGGATGCAGGTTGTTGAAACCTCGCAGGAAAGATCTCACAGAGCTCTCCCTAAACAAGGAG